AGCACATAGCCCAACATTCCTTATTTCAACATTAGAAAACATACCTTTTATACACTAAAAATCCAATTTACTCTCTATAAAAATACACCATAAAACAAAAACGTTTTTATATGTTGACACTAATAATATTTGTAAAAAATAGAAAACAATTGTCTTTGAAGAAATTCACTTTGATAACGTCTACGTTACTTCACGACTTGCTCACGAATAATACACTAAATGTTCATAAGTGCCATCCTAAAAGTGCATATTTTATTCCTGAATAAGCAAAAAATAGAAAGAGATCGGAGATAACTGGAGAGTAATAAATAAATTAGTCATAACAAAACTCACAAAAGTGCCAACGCTAATTAGATACGCAATAATGGATATAGATAGATAGAAACAATTACCAGGTCAGAGATGCTTATAAGTGTCACCCTAAAAGGCCATATTTTATAATCCCAAATAAACAAACTTTACAGCTTACAATACAGAATTACACGATGAATATCAATAAATTGAATGTTTTCCTTGGTTTTTATTAAGTTATTTTTACTGCCCGGATATATTCGAATCTGAACATTTTAGCGACATAAGTTGCGACGCCGACCGTATATATACGGGTCTGCACATTTTGGCCGGTTTTGCACGCCCGCGTTAATACGTTTCTGCGCGTTAAGGGGTTAACTTGTAATATATTTGAATATTGAACTTAACACCGATTCGGAGTAGATTTTTTAGCGAATAAACTATTTTGTGTTCGGGTTGATGGTAGACTGCCTGTTGTGCGTTGTGCGTTCTCGGAGGTAAACTCGGCGTGGGTGTGTTCTAAAATTGAGATAGTCGGATTCGTGGATTATTCAATTCTTGCGAGGAGTGAGGGAAACGGTCATCCTGACTGATTGGTTTGCAAAATTATGAAAGTGATCGCCCCAAACTCGGGTGACGCGCACGAAGAATCCGAGTGTCCCAAGAATTAACCGTAGCAAACAATAGTCCGGAAAATGCATTTTCTCGGTGGAACATGCATACCATAAAAAAAAACGACTGGGAAATGACGTTTGGTGACCAACTGTGGATCATAAAGGAAATACTCGAGCAGAGGACGGAACGGCTTTTAACGAAATTGCTTACTACGGGTGGTCTGGAATTTCGGTTGTTTTGTCCAAGTGTAATTTATGAGGATTCCGTCATACAACGGAACAGTTAGGGTTGCGCATCGTCGGAGAACACGTCCGCGCTTCCGCCATTGTGTTTCTCGTCGTGCTCCGGGCTCGTTCGAAATCGAGTTTTCCAGCCGCCGCGAAAAATCTGCTCCCCGGGGCGGCTCGCCTAACGTTCGGCCGCGAAGCCGATAAAAGGCCATTATATATATGTATATATAAACATATATCGTGGCTGGCAACGGATGGCGGTGCTCGAGCGAAGAGGGGCTCCGTCGACTCAGTTTTTCGAGGCAGCCTCGAAAACCGCGGAGGCCTCTCTAAGTAGGTAAGTAGGCGGCGAGAGATATTACCCGGTCGTTTTGCAATAATCAATAGATTCTTTTTCTCTCGCGTCGGCTAATGCGCGCCGCGCCGCGCTGCGCCGAACTGCAACTGCAACTGCACCGGCAACTCGCTGCCGGCGCGCTGCGGTTTCGCCTTCTCACGCCTCGCGGAACGTTACAAATTGGATACGCGGCCACTGCAAATTGAATCGCGCCGCGTGAAATATTAGGAGGCCTCGATCCGGCGATCGGCCTGACCCAATGTCTTCCTTTAATACCCACGGGATTCTGGATCGTTAGATCCGTAGAAACCGACTGGATACTTTCTCTGAAATCACTATTATTCGCGGACCCCACCCTCCTGTGTGAGAAAGAGAGAGAGAGAGAAACCGGCGCGCCGCATCGCGCCGCGATGCTAACTGCCGCTGTGCAATTCTGGCAGCTGGGATGGGCTGCGCCATTGCCTCCAGTCAAGATAAATTAGAATCCTGAATAAGGACTTGGTAATATCAACATTTAACTTTGACACTGTTTCATTCTGCACGGCAAAGGCGCACCGCTTTCGAGATAAGTGGCTCGGCCGTTCCGATCTTCCGATCTTTCGGAACATCGGAATCTTTCCTAAAATGGGCCCGCTCTAAAATATATGGCCAACATTTTGGCAATAATGTCTCACTGCAAATACTTCGCTCTGCAAATGCAACGAGGAGCTTGGCAACTAATTTCTGCTGGGAAATCGTTTAATTTAATTCAATTTAATTTAATTTAGAATCATTTAATGCTAGGAAAGCTTTTCGAACAAGGATTAACCCTTCGCAGTCGAATGGCGACTCTGTGAGTCAGCATTAAAAATTATTATAGCACGTTTCAAAATAATATGTACATTCTTGAATTTGTTAATATATTAAGAAACTGTTAAAATTGTTGTAAGAGTAGACTGCGGATCTTTCTGCAAAACGAAACTTCTCTTCATCAATTCTGACAAAGACTAGTGAAATAATTTCTTTGTTTATTTAATAATTTCAATGGGCTGAGGGTAATACACAGATATCTTTAAATTCTTTCAATATTTTCACCGTTTTTCATCGTTGTTATAAATGCATAAAATTCACAGTTTACGTGCGAGTGACAAGACTCGATTTCATACGTATAAAATGCAAGAAATCATGTAAAATGATAATACTATAAATCGGAAAAGCTATTTTGGATTTAGAACTAAAATGGCTCGCCTCTTATCGGTCAGTGTTTCTGGTTAATAATTTATAAACAAAAAGTCGTGGATTGCATTTTCGCTAAGGAAAAAGTTCGAATGACCTCGGAAACCCGCAATTTCTGTATTGCGAGATATTTTTGGGACACCCTGTATATTGTCAATGTATCAAGACGCAGTAAATTCTCCGTAATTGACGCTCATCTTTTCCAAATAAAAAAATATGGAAGATTTGGGAAGAGAAGGTACAATTATTTATTATCATTCGAGCCTCGCGGCTCATTTTTATAGTTGTTGACAATCGGTGACTATAAAAACGAGGTTCAAAGCTCGAATAATCGTATCTCCTTTTCCCAAATTCTCTACTTTTGTGTACAAGCCGAGTATTATGTCAAGATTACATCAACGTTATTTCAATCCTTTGCACTCGAAGCTATTTTAGCTGTAAATATAAAAACGTTTTTCTAACTTATAGTGTTTTTATTTTATGCAAAATGCAAAACTGCATTTTATGCATATGAAATTGACTCTTGGGAGTCACGCAACAATTACACTCTTAACAATTTTTTAAATCTAAACTTTGTTGATATAAAAATTATGATAAAACGTGATGTAAGAAATTTTAGTGGTGCCTCAGAGTCACCACTCGAGTGCAAAGGGTTAACCTTATTTCAAAGTTTACTGTATATCGTTCATCTCTGCTATTCTTTAACACTAAATCTACCAAGTAGTAATACTAACTGGCATGTACTAAACTTTGTTCATCAACAACATCTAAACTTTGTTGATGTAAAAATTATGTCAAAACGTGATGTAACAAATTTTAGTGGTGCCTCAAAGTCACCACTCCAGTGCAAAGGGTTAACCTTATTTCAAAGTTTACTGTATATCGTTCATCTCTGCTATTCTTTAACACTAAATCTACCAAGCAGTAATACTAACTGGCATGTTCTGCTTCACAAAAGTGAGAAGACCGAATTGATTTGGAATTTATAAAGTTTTTATCATAAAACTTGCTCCAATAATATAACTTATTCAAGCGTTTTCCAGGAAAAGAGTCTCGGAACTTTGCAGAATTGCAAAATAAGAAAGCGGTCACTTTGACCCCGCGGTAGGTTTAGTGTGAAATCTTCGCGATGCTCGCTCTCGGTTCCCGGCGCCCGAGAAATTCAAGTCGGCGAAGGATTAACAGGCCGCCTCGAGTAGCTAAACTCTTCGACAACCGTATGCAACCGCAGGATGAACAGGCCGGGCGGCGGCTCGCGAGAGAGCGCAGCTCGATCCTTATTTTCCCATCGGCGAGGCAATTCAATAACGCTCCTCGGCAAACAACGCGGAGCGGAAGACTCAATATCCAAAGTACATCTGGGTGATTGCGGCGGGAGGAAGGCGGGATTCAACGCTGGTTCCCATCGATCTCCCCCGAGGAACCGGAAGAAGGAGGGAAACACTCAGCGATATTACCAAGGAGAAAATCCATCGGTTTTCTTTTCCCCCGAACAAAAGGGAAGCGCCTTTCGCCGGCGTGCCGCGACGCGTTGTTCGCCGTCGGATGAACCGGAGACGCGGTTCACGGACTTTTACCGTCGCGTCGGGACGCCGACAACGGAACTGTTTTAGGACAATCGAAACCCGTTTCACCGTTGCTTCACTGGACCACGCCGCCGCTAACCATTATTCCTGTCACCTGGATCCCATATTATTTCAATGTTTCCAGGAATCACCGCACTGCGACCAGATTCGTCTTAACACTGAGCCCACCGAGCCGGTCGCAACGACCGATTTCACATATTTTTTTTGTTTCAAAGTTGTTTTATGAGAACAATTATGCTTAAATTATATTTAAATTATATTTAAATTGTTAGTATATTTAAGTTATATTTAAATTATATTCATATTATTGTTATATTTAAATTATATTTAAATTATATTCAAATTATTATTATATTTAAATTATATTCAAATTATTATTATATTAAAATCATATTCAAATTATTATTATATTTAAATTATATTCAAATTATTATTATATTAAAATCATATTCAAATTATTATTATATTAAAATCATATTCAAATTATTATTATATTTAAATTATATTCAAATTATTATTATATTAAAATCATATTCAAATTATTATTATATTAAAATCATATTCAAATTATTATTATATTAAAATCATATTCAAATTATTATTATATTTAAATTATATTCCAATTATCATTATATTTAAATTATATTCAAATTGTACATAAATTATTATTACATTTAAATCATATTTAAATTATAAGAACTCACTTACAAGAACTCTCAATCGTGGAAAATGATTGAAGAGACTCTTTAATCGAAGCGAACGTTCTAGTAATAATGACAGTAGGTCAAAATAAGCTCAGCCTTTTCGTTGTTATAAACAAATTAGTAACTTCTACGAATCGGTGGATTCAATGTTAAACCAATGGCGACTTGCTTCTCTGCTTTTCTCGTTGGTCTCAAAAAAAGTGTGTTTCACCAATTCGCGTCTTCTTTAAACGAAATCTCGAGCAATCCCGATTGAATTTGAACTTCTCAGTCGTTCGACTTTCACCCTAAATCTACCAAAAGCCGGTCGAAACAATCGCTTTCGCATCTTGTATTTAAAAATTGCTGAAACTCTAAAGACTCTTTCCTAAGTAAATGTTTGAAACAATTTTCGAATCCAAGCCATCACTGCGATAAAAAGAGCAAATGAAGCCTAAACGAATTCGGACCTCTCGTTCTTACGTTGCAACACACATTCGTCACTTTCGATGCGCGAGACAGATTCGGCGTTGACCGAGCGGCATTAGCGACGACCGCGATGCCATAAAGCGCGATTGCTTTGTCCCGTGAGAAAAACGAAAGGTTCTCGGCCGATCGGTCCCGAGACTCCGAGAAGTCGCCCGTTCAAAGATTAACGCTGCGGCAGCGAAGGGTGCCGTAGATCGGGCCCAGGACTCGCACTGTATCACCGATGGACACCGTAAACACGGTGACGCGCACGCTTCCAAGAACAATGAATCACTCGGCGGTTCCCGCGGCCAGCTTTTAATCAAACTTTCCAGCGAACAACGATCGTTATCGGCCGGCGTGCGCCGGCCAAGAAATGGGGCGAGAACGGTTTAATGGTTAACAGGTACAAATTTCTCCCATTAAAGTGAAATTCCGCGCAACCGGCGCCGCACAATCGATACGCGCTCGCGCTCGCGCGCGCTCCTCTTTTAATCGCGATAGGGAAAACCGAGCGCGAAGTATGCGCGGAATATCCGATCGCGCGAGCCGAGTTTCTACATTGTGTGCCGCGTTTTACGATTGATATTTTACCGCTCGCGAGCGCGCGCGCGCGCGGCCCTGTTCTTTACCGCGGGGATTTCAATCGTTCGCGTTTAAGGGGAAATCGGGATTACGGTGTTTAAAGTGTTCCGCGTTTATGAAGTTCCCCCGGTGAAACGCGGCGGCCAGTTGTTTAGGGGGAAACGGTTTCTCGGTTAATGTCATTCCACAGGTTTCAAAATGGCTTCCAGGTTAATCGCGTCCGCGGCGCTGATCGCCCCCCGAACCACGCGCTATTACGAATTCGGGCGGAATCGTCGTGATTCACGGATTAATCATGGGACTGGAGGATGTATCTGCGGTTTGTCGTTCGATCCGGGCGTTTATGGTGACTCGGTCGAGTCGTTTGAACATTTCGGCGAAAGGGAAGGCATTCTTGGGACCGATCGGAACGCGCCGTGAGATCGAATCGTCTCGTAGCACTGTTAATCAGTTAACTGTGGCGATCAAACTGATCCAGTGTGTGGATCGAACGATCAAGCGATGAATTCGACTCAAATTATTTGTAATTTTCATTTGTTTGTTTCGTTTCGTCTTGACCTCTGAACATTTTAAACATATTAAAAGTTATATATATACGAATGTAATTTAGTTTTCGCCAGAATTACAATTTAAATATCAAATTGTAACAAAATCTTACGAACGACGGGCATAATCGTCACGACACAAAATTCTGTCACATCTCCATGACGGATATAGTCGTCAAACACACTTAACTGGTTAATCCTTTGCACTCGACTGGTGACTCACAACTTAAAATTGTTATGCAACGTTTCGGAGTAATTTCGACATTATCGAATTCGTTTATATTTTAAGAACGATTGAAATCGTAATCGTTGCACGAGTCCCAAAATTCAATGTCATATACATAAAATGCACTTGACTCGTATAAAATGGATATCCTGTAAGTCGGAAAAATGATTTCGAATTCAGACTTGAAACGGCTTCGAGTGCAAAGGGTTAAGCTATCTCGTTGAGTCGAGTCGTTTGAACATTTCGGTGAAAGCGAAGCCATTCTTGGGACCGATCGGAACGCGTCGTGAGATCGAATCGTCTCGTAGCACTGTTAATCAGTTAACTGTGGCGATCAAACTGATCCAGTGTGTGGATCGAACGATCAAGCGATGAATTCGACTCAAATTATTTGTAATTTTCATTTGTTTGTTTCGTTTCGTCTTGACCTCTGAACATTGTAAACATATTAAAATTTATACGAATGTAATTTAGTTTTCGCTAGAATTACAATTTAAATATCAAATTGTAACAAAATCTTACGAACGACGGATATGATCGCCATGACACAAAATTCTGTCACATCTCCAGGACGGATATAGTCGTCAAACACACTTAACCGGTTAATCCTTTGCACTCGACTGATGACTCCGACTCACAACTTAAAATTGTTACACAACGTTTCGGAGTAATTTCGACATTATCGAATTTGTTTATATTTTAACCTTTCAGGTACGGCTGAATTCTGCGCAAAGCTATTTCTCTGAACGGCAGAGTCTGATATGTATTGTACAGAGTGTCTGCATATTCTGTCTGTATATTGTTAGGATACAGTTATATTGTTAAGATAAGTCTGTATATTGTAAATCGATGTGAAGACAAAAGAAGTGTGAAACAATGCATACGAAGACGATTATTTGATTCAAACGATGACCGAGTGAGCTACAAGAGTAAGCCACTACAGTGGCGCGTCGTCCAGAGAGATGACATCCGCGAAAGCCACTATAGTGGCTCGTCGTGCCTAAAAGGTTAAGAACGATTGAAATCGTGATCGTTGCACGAGCCCCAAAATTCAAAATATCGTTTACATAAAATGCACTTGACTCGTACAAAGTGGATATCCTGTAAGTCGGAAAAATGATTTCGAATTCAGAATTAAAACGGCTTCGAGCGCAAAGGGTTAAGCTATCTCGTTGCCTTATTTTCATCCCGAGGTCCGACAGCCTCGCAACGTATCTGCGAACCGATTGTCGCCGCGCACAAACGACAATTCCGAAACGACAAGCGAAACGCGCGAGCAACCGATAAACACGCGAGGACGCAGAAGTGGCGATTATTCGGGAAGGGTTGAACCGAGAGAGGATTAACGCGGCGATAAAAATGTGACGAATCAACCGGAATAACTCCCCCGAGTTGTTGGGTGCAGAGAGGTCGGGGATCAGGATTTCTCCGTGGCGTAGCGGAGAACCGGGAATACGAAACGGGCCGGCCGGAGATCTTCGCCGACCGGATGAAGGTCTCTCGAGGCCGAAAGCCGGAAGGGGATGAGGCCGAAGACGAAGGGCAAACACGAAGGCGAAGCTGCTGGCACAGGTTTCCGCGTCACCCTAGGGGTACTGTGCCGGGACGCGTTCCCGTTTTTTTACATGGCGGGGATCCCCAGGAGGCCTACACCATGCCACACGGTTTTGTCCCGTGTGGAGAACACAAGAAGAAGGGGGGTTGGGGGGGACAATAGAATGTCAGAGAGCGAACTGGGAGTTGTGGAAGAGTTTCAAACGAAAATAAACAAAGAACAGAGAGGGTGTTTATAGCAAGAAGAGAAGTGTATAAATCCTTAAGCCGTCAGTCTCGTGGATGTATGCAAATCTCGTAAGAAGTTCATCTTTTTACATCTGACACGAAGTCGATTGCGTTGTCTTATTTTGCTTTTTTTTTATATATGTTTTTGTTCGCCACGGACGATATCGGCGAGGAGGCACGAAGAGAGATAGAGAGAGAGAGAAAGACCGGCAGGGGTTGGCCGGTTTTCCAACGCGATTCGAACAGGGCCGCGTGCACCGAGGATCGTCTGTCCGGCGTTCCGCCGGGTGAAAGTGCAAATTCTACCGGCGAGGAGAGCGGCGCGGGTGCGCGATTTTTCCAGGTGTTACGTGCCACGTGCGGCTGCACTTTCTACGGTGCATCGTTTGAATCCTTAATGGACGCCGGTTGCGGGACCGTGGAAATCGGCGGATCGTCGATCGTCGGTGTTCCGAGTCTCTGATATATTGACCGCATCGATCCCATCGATCGCATCGATGAGAGAGAGGGAGAGAGAGAGTAAAGAGAGATGGTAAACGAGAGATCGAGAGAGATAGATAGAGAGACGCGACGCCGGAAGTGGAGCCCGTCGACTCCGTCGAGGCGTCGTTCCGTCGCTTCGGGACGATCGTGACGATCGTGACGACGGAGTGTGTAGGCTCCCGCCGAGATCGTCCGTGGGTGTCTTTTCTTTTTTCTGTGAGAAACTTATACGCTAAACACCAGCTGGTGCTGGTGGTGTGGTGGTGTGGTGGGCTTACGACTAGTCACTTAACCGAGGCTACCTGCTCGTATACCCTCTTTCTCTCCGATGGAACCGAACAACCGAATGGAAAACCGAAGGTGCCACTGAACACGTTCGAGCCCGAGGTGCCGCGACACACCGATCACCGGAACTCAAAGAGGTGGCCACGTTACGGGGACAGGATCTTTTATACCCTGGGAATTATTGATCCCGCACGGCTGGCCAGGCCGGGCGACACGTGCGCAGGTCCTTCGCCGGCCGCGCAAGAGCACACCGACCGACTGGACCAGGTGAAACAAATCATTTTTTTCAGAGACGGCTCGCGGCCGTTCGCAGGCGAAACAGGTAACTGGCTGGCGTCGGGACACCTGGAAAAATGATAACGGATGGGACATGCAATTTCGAGACACGGGCTGGCCAATGTCGCGGATTCAAGTTCACCGGCTGATTCTCGAGGGCACTTCGGGGAAATGACTTCGAGAGGGCAGGTGTAAATGATACGAAGATGCGTTATGCTAGCTGATGATTCGTGGCCTCGTTCTATCCAGCGAGCATGATGTTTTCAACGAGTTTTCATCAGATTTCGACGAAGGGAAAATGAGAATGATTGTAGTTGATAATGGATTAACGCGTTGTTCTTTGATCTTGTTTTTACAGCAAGCATAATGTTTTGAACGAGTTTTGACAAGGTTTTTGATCTAGGGAAGATGAAAATGTTTGTAGCTGTTAATGGATGGATTTGTTGTTCTTTGATTTTGTTTTATTATGGATTATATTATTATTTTGTATATATTGATTATTATATTATATTATATATATTATATTATATTTATTATTGATTTTGTTGATATTGATATTATTATTTTGTTTTATCTTTTTTTTTTATTATGGATTGTTATAGTTTCCGCTTAATTAATGTCTGCTCTCGCAGTTGGGGGTGAAGTGAGAACTATGAAGCATTGCTTATATCGTTCGGAACGTAGAAATTAAATATTTGAGAAGGCTAATGATGGAGTTAATTATTAATTGTTATAACTCGGCGCTGAAAAGTTTAATACTTGTGGATGAAAAAGATTTCTTTTATTTTCGACAGACGAAGTTGCTGCCGCAGATTTAAAATACGTGTGAGCTTTAGTTTCGACAAATTACTACGTAACTAAAGAGATTTTGTAGGCTTTTTTGTCTCATGTCCCACAACATTATAATACCGTGTGTAACATTACCGATTGTTCGCGACTTTGGACCTGTTAGCAAGAACCGAGTATCTCGTATGCTTAATTTCTACTGCAAGCCCTCGATACGATTTCAAGTAAAAGAATGCGTCCGATGTAAACATTCTTCGAAACATTTGTACATTAAAAGTTGCCCCAAATCTCGTATTCCGTTCTCCATTTTTTGTGGAAAATACCCTTCGTTGCGTTTCGCTCTGTTTCGCTTTATTTCGTAGGGGTTGCATTTGTACGCAGCCATATACTTCAAATAAACCGCGAAAAAGTCGTTAGTGCTGCCACTGGTGGCAACATTTGCAACTACAATTAGGGGGTCTGTACAGCGTCAATTAGGGTGGTGGCAAAATGCCCAAATTGTTCGCCAAATTCGACTGTTGGTAATTTTGGCTAGCAGTTTCGGCGTTTTGCCACTGCTCCAATTGGCGCTGTACGGACCTCGTAGCTGTAGTTCCAAGAATTGCCATCAGTGGCAGCACTAGCATCAAATTTCTTTTGCTCCGTCGGTCACGTTGCCCAACAGTTTAAGCGTTTTGCCACTACGTGCTTTGGCGCTGTACGAACCCTAACTAAGCTTTGAAATTTCGCCACGTCGGCGCCACTGTCGCCGTGTGTGGCGGTTCCTTTGAATGCCATTGTTAATTCTTGGTAAAGCAAGCTTTTTATTTTCGTTGTTATTCATTCAGTTTAATTTACCAGACTCGTACTAGCGCGTCATTTTTCAAATACTTCAAGATCAATTCTACGTATTGTTTCCATCGCAGATTTATCTGAAGTCTTCGATTCTATTTCTGCATGCTAACGCATCGGTTCGGCGTGATGAAGCTGGGAACTAAATGCTTCGAGTCTTTACTTCGCGTCCTTATTTTTGTTGACACGAAATTACATGAGACTAAAGTCTCTGAATTTCTCAGTATTTTTTAAATGGCAGGAGAAGTAATCGTAGATGCGTTACCTTACATCGATCAAGGATACGATGAGCCCGGTGTCAGAGAAGCAGTGAGTATATTTTCTTTAATTGATTAGTGCAATGTCGGAATTATTTTTAGGTTATATTGTTTATATTTTCTTCCAATGTTTATTAGTCTAATGTCGCGAAACCGATGAATATTTCAGGCCTTGGCGATGGTCGAAGAAGAGACGCGGCGATATAGACCAACGAAGAATTACCTAGAGCATTTATCGTCATTGAATATAAACGCTTTTGAAACGGACGTGATGAAACATGAATTTGAGCGAATGCAAAACCGTTTGCCCATGGAAGTACTCAGCATGAAACGTTATGAGTTGCCTCCTCCACCTCCAGGCAAGATGAACGATCTTGCTGCTTGGAACGAAAGTGTGGAGAACAGTAGCGCGCAACTGGAACACCAAGCTACTAGGTATAACCGTTGTATGCGCTGCAATTATTAATTTTAATTACAGTTGAGATGCTTTAAATTTCCACAGAATTTGTAATCTTGAATTAATGATGGAATATGGATGCGAAGCTTGGAAATCGTATCTGGAAATTTTAGTTCAATTAGTGGGCCAAGCACAAAAGCAACTCCAGTCCCTGAGAAAAAAGATTCAGGAGGTCAATTGGCAAAGAAAGTCTATGCAAACTCAAGGAGGGGAGAAGCTGAGAGCATTAGAAGCCCAGTGGGTGGGACTGGTGTCGAAGAATTATGAAATTGAACAGGCTTGCGTTCATTTAGAGGAAGAAATACAGAAATCCATAGTGAATAAATTGGAGGCTGTTGAAATTAATGATGTCCCAGGAGAGGAAGAACCTGACATTCCAGGAAAAAGTGCTACGGAAGTTATGGCAACAGAGATGACTCAACAAGATCAAGACGATTAAAGAATCTGCGAAATTGTATAAATGGACATGTACAGATTGATAAGTGTGTTTAATATAAATATTTAAATATATGTATGTATATCGTTTGAAATTAAACTTTGCCTTCAACTCTTCTAGTGGACTGTACAGTGGTAGCGAGTTTGCGCAGAATTTTGAATGTGACTGTACCAACATGGCAATGTTTGGTCATGTTGGATGCTAACTACTGCTAGTTACTGTACTGAAGAAATTATCCTCATATGCTGTGAAATGTACGGAATTAATAAAAAAACAGTCATATTGATGGAACAGTAATTCGTTCAGTGTATTTAGTTGAAATAATTTGCTGCAAGTTCAAAAATTTATATCTCTTCGGAGGTTACAAAAACTTAGTTGCCGTTTAGAAGATACAGTCGAAGAAACGTCAGCACAACGTAATTAGTGATTAAAGAATTAAGACAATATATTTGCAACAGTGATAATATGTACGCCTCAACACAGTTTCGACATTATGCTTTCCTAACATTGGCTGTCATATCGATGCTTGCTGGCTCGCAGTATGTTCATAAAAAATATGAACCTCTAAAAGATCTGAACGATCTAATAGAAGAGGAATATAAGAGGAGACTTGCGGAATTGGATCAGAAATGAAGCCGCATTGAAATCTGTAAATAGTATAATAAATTAGATATATTAAAAATTGAACAGTTATGTTCACATATACTCTTGCACTGAACTTAATGCGAATGAAGTATTTCGTTCTATATTAAAAATTTTATTCGGGATTCCGTGGGTAATGAAAAACAGTAGGGAATTTAATAAAGCACAATTTATTTCATCATAGTTTACACGTATCACGCTTTTCTTTAATGCTTGAAATATACATATGTACAAGATGAATATCACTGTCTATAAATGACATATAGTATCAAGTAACAATTATTTATATTTCACAGTATACCTGGAGGACTTTCTTATATAGTTTGCTTGCATTGCTGTATCTCAGTTAGCAGATCCGCGTAAAACCTAGCTTAGAAATTGAAATCCATTAGGATAGCCACTACACGTGTTTTTTTTTGTCCTTTATAGAATTACAAAGCGAATAATCAAGCGTTATTCTCGGCCAACTATCCGTGTAAAAAAATACGTAAATTTCATCTCAGTTTCGAACGTTCTATTACGTCAGGAAAGATAGTAAAAAATACTCGTTCCTTGAACTGGCGTCGAACAGTTTCCATTAGTCACTAAATTGTCATAACGACGTCTCGCTGGCCCCGGAGCTTTGGGATTGAAGCGGTAAACTCGTTTTGTATCCCGCAGCTTCCTCCTCTAGCAATGTTATCCGTTGTTTCAATAAGTTCACCTAAAAATTAATGTATTGTCAAACAATAATAGATTCTTTTTCCATAATACTGGATGAACTCGTTCCAAAAATTTTGTTTCATATATTATGGAAGTTTTAAAAGTTCCAACTTGAGATAACTTGTTCGAATTAATTTCAGATAAATATGCATGGATCAAAGAAGAATGTAATTAGCTTAAAATATCCAAAAATGATTTCTTCTTTCTGGTAAATAAAATTTGGCCTTAAACCATAGTGAATTAATTAATCTTGACTTTAATGTAACCAATGCAACGTGGTAGAATTGCGTCAGCGTAGAAGTACTAATCGAAACTGGAGTACTGTTCTTATTTATTTTGAATGAATATATAGACGAAAAAAGAATCAAATTAGCTTAAAATGTTCAGGAAATGATTTGCTTTCTTTTCAGCAAATAAAATTTGCTCTTTGTTCAAGTAATCTTAATTTTAGTGTGACCGTGTTCGATGTTGGCGAAACGCGTCGGCGTAGAAGTATTAATCGAAGAGAACCAAGATGGCGTCCACCAGATGAGAAAGGTTGTGATTTCGCGAGGCTGTGAATACTGTGCAACGAATGGGTATAAGAAGAAGAATTATAAAATGGATACACAACAAAGTGCCTGGGAAATTTCTCGGTAACTTTCGTTTCTTACCAATATTCTTTGTCGCTGGTGGTTTGTTGGAGTATACTATGATACACTGGCACGCTGGAGGAGAGGTTAACTTTTACAATACATACAAGAAAAAACGGATCGAAGAGGCAGTTCAAGAAAGATTACGAAACGAGATAAGATCGCGAGCGCAGAATGCTAACACTTAAAAAACTCGCAAAGCATTATTGCAGAAACTTGTACGTATTCATGATTGAATTAGTATTGTACGATACTGATGTTTTGGTATTATTGTGCTTCAACGAATGAAGGCATCGTCCATATATAATTTTTACTTCCAGAAACCAAAGTTACAAGCTTCAGAGGATAATCAAGCGGTGACGAAAGTCACAAACAAAATGTAACATACATAAATTAGAGGAGTGTATGAAACTGTAATAAAGTAACTTTTATGATTATCCCTACACGATTCTGGTGCTTATTTTCAATGTCCTCTACATCATCCTCTATACTACATTATTTGTACCTGTGTAGCATGCCTTTCAACCATGCCCAACATTTGCTGCTCCAGCTTCTTTAATCTAGACTGGTACTTCTTCTTGGATTTTTCTAGAGTTTGCACCAGTGCTCTAAAATCATACACACCGTCAGAAATTACATAATCTATCCCAATGCCGCGTCAAATTCAATTACCCATTGGCTCTCTTCAAATCGTTTACAAGCTCGGCGGACTGTTGATGCCTGAGTTCCGAATTCTTGTTAACTTTATCCAAGGTCGATACTAATTCCTGCAAACGTTCTTTCAGCCTAGCTTCACGGCCCAGCGCCTCTATCAGCTCTGACTCTATGCCTTCGCTTTCGTTATCACTCAGACTGCGATCCTGCAATCAACGTTACTAAATACATCTGAACGCAAAGAAGCACGTGATGGATCGAAACAGTCTCGGACACTGGAAGGTCCAAGGATGAAACGACGGTCGCATTCATACTTTATTCGTAGCCATTGCCAGCATGGCCTCCGTGTCGTTCAGCTGACCCTGAAGGTGCTCAATGGCAGCGTGTTGGGCCGCGATTTGCGTGTCGCGGGCGTTTAATTTTAATTCAATGGTAGCCCGTTCCTTCTCCAGTAGGAAAACTCTTGCCCGCAACTCAGCTTTGTCCTCCCGCATGGCCATCAATTCCTGCGTGATCATTATACCCGATCTCTGTATTTATCCGTCGGAGAAACTCGCCGGAGTGAAAGACAAACCGGGGGACGAACCTGCATCAACACTGCGGTCTCCAAGTCCAGTTTCCTGGCCTCCGCGAGCGAGATCGTGTTCTTCGAGTTCAGAGGCTCCGCGTGGACGCTCTCCAATTCCACTGCGGTCGATCTGACCATCGCGCGGTCCCCTTTTAATTGGCTGATGTGTCTCCTGAGCCTCTGCTCGTCTTCCACGCTCCACGCCACCTCGTTCCTAACGATGCACAAAAGCATTTAATGCGTTCTCGACGATAATTTAACCCATTCGGTACGAGCACGTTGTCCGCCGTGACACTTCCCACTGTACGGGGTGCCGCGCCGAAAATGCGCACATAACGCAGGGTCGGTCCACTTTTGTACGAAGATTTTCTTAAGCGTTAAGTGATGACTGTGCTTAATCCGTTTCTAAATCTTTCTTTAAATGTTTCCTGTAAACATCCTGTAAAGGGCCTACAGAAATATGGCTTACATGGATGCTAGATGTATTCGGCACTCGTCCATATTGGTCATCGGATGGATGCCGGATATATCCGGCGCTCGGCCACACAGGTGACTAGATGGATGCCGGATATATCCGGCGCTCGTACCGAAAGGGTTAATCACAGATCGAACTCGGAATCCACGACCGCAAAGGTCGCGTCACTTACTCATCGGACAAAACTATGCTGTCCTCCCACGGCGCGTTTAGGCTGTTCACGCACTCGTTCTCCAGCTTGTTTAAAACATGATAGGCCACGTGCTCGGCCGCCCTCCTGTTGTCGATCGTGATGCTGTTCCTCTCCGTGGACAAAGCGATCTCGCTCTCCAACAACGCCACGAGAACATCGTAGGCCTCGATCGTTCGGTCGCTGTAGGAAAGAGCTAGACGCAACGCAGTGGCGTTCGACTCGTACTTTCCTACCAGTAGGCTCAATCTGAAAAGAATGAGATACACCGCGATCTTACACGTGGTCCACGTTATTCGAGAAACAGAGCAATACCTGTCGCATTGCGCCTTGCTCTCGTGCAAGGTCAAAGCGAGGACCGCGTTGTTCGCTCGAGCGTGTTCCAGTCTGCTGTTCAGCCTCTCCGTCTCGACCTCGAACTGCTTCTCGGACCCGTTCAGCTCCTGCAGGTTCGAGTGCTCCAGGAGATCGGACACCAAGTGCTCCGCCACCATCGTCGAGCATACCTAACGTAGTCGGAATCAATATTTACTCGTTTTAACACTTAGCCGACCGATCGGGTAGATCTGCCCATTTCCAAGCTAGTCGGTAGCCGACCGATCGGATAGATCTACCATTTTGACCTGAGGAACGCTTCTTTCTCTGTAGAGCTTCTTATTTCTATAGAGTACAACATAATTATAATAACATGCACTAATTTTTGAAGTCTTTTATTGCCCATTATTACGGTTCTTTATGTTCGGGATTTTCGAAGGTGCCTCCACCAGCCATAAGATTATTTTATTAGAACACTTAGCCGATCGATCGGGTAGATCTACCACTTTGACCTGAGGAACGCTTCTTTCTCTATAGAGCTTCTTATTTCTATAGAGTACAACACATAATAAAATGCACACCAACACCACACCCATTAGAAATCGAAATGCTACCTACACCTCACTCTCACGACTTTTTCGAATATATAAGACTCCGCTCAACTTGCAAATATTAGTGTAGAAGCTAAGCTCCTTGCTGTGACTCTCAACAAGTGGTGTGAAACGAAGTATAGAAAAAATATCCCTAAAAATGTCCAGAAACATGAGTGACAATTCAAGTGATGAGTTGTTTATGGACACACTATCAGACTGTTCTGAAGACATTGATCTACTGGTAAGTGATTGTGAAAAGTTCACGACAATAATAGCACCATCGTTCCCATATATCAGACTAATCGACGAATCCTTTCGAGTGAATCGGAAGATGATTCCGCCGATGACTCGGAATCAAATGTTATTGTCAATGGCGTCGATGATTGGACAGAAGATGATATTAGAGTTGAACTGAAGCATATGGTCGAACTGCATGCATCAACACAATGCCTGAACATCACGATATATTACTGCTTTTTTGTTCCATATTTGAGTTACGTTATTTATCCGTCATCTTTACTGTCCTTAATTTTCTGACTCTATTAACTATACTTTTTGAATAACCATTAAAAAATGATTATTATAAACTTTTAAATTCGAATTTTGTATAAGCAATATGTGAAATCGTTGAACGAAATTGTTACCGTAAGATATAATTGATCACATAAATAATTTTCGGACGTTTTCGATTTCAAATAGCGAAATTCAGTCCGTGCTACCTCAGAAAAATGCGCGATGGACAGCGCAGTTTGGCTTTCCCGAGCGCGGTGGAAACTGTACAGGTCTCTGTGGCGCGTGCGGTCGGCTACGTTTAACCTTTTGAGCTCTGAATACTCCTGGCCGAAACGGTTCGTAGGGACGGAGCGCGGCTATCGCTGACCATCGCTGGGGGCGGAATACTTTTTTGCCACACTGAAGTGACTATTCAAGGCGCAAACAGTAATAAATTATAGTGATTCTTTTGCAGAAGGTTAAATAATTAATCTTCTGATTCAATGTCCGATGATAGTGATTCACTATATTCTATTTCACTGTCGTCCCTTGTGAAATATTCCTCAAGATTTGACATTT